AAAGACAATTGCATTCAATCCATGAATAGTAGTATTGAATCACAAACTCTGACCGAAGTTTCACAAGACTTTTGGCTTCATTCAAAACATTTTGTTTCTCTTTTTCTGTCAAACCTTTAAAAAAATTCAAATATAATAAAAATAAATAAAAATATGCAAATTATATAAAATAAAAATATTTACCATTTAATAGACATATCTTTATGGCATAGAATTTATGGTCACATTTATTTTGAACTTCATATACCAATCCATAACCACCCTCACCAAGCTTATTTATTACATCAAATGACTTTTCAAATGATATTGAATAATTCAGCTTATCGTGAGTTTCTATAAAAACACATAATTATGATAATCAATTCAATGCACAACATATTAAGGCAACAATTATGGCATTATTGTAATATTTACCACAATTTGGTGTATTTTGTTGAATATGTGTTGAAACTGTATTTAAAGTGATTTGCAATTTATGTGAAAAATAATCATCAAATGATGTATAATTGGTTTCAAACAGATCTTGGTCATCAATTTCATATATTTTATCACCAGATTTGCCCACAATTTCTGAGGCATTCTTGTGTTTAATTTCATTTAAAACAAAATGGAATAATATTTCTAAACACTTATTATGAAAGTAATATCGATATAAGTGACCATGGCTAGATAACAAGTATACATATCGAGAACTTCGTGGAAGTGCATTGTGTATGTTAATTTCAATTTCTAATACAAGTGGTTGTCTTATTATATTATCACCTACCTTTCCCCATATAAACACCTGTCCCTCACAAGTAAGAGCAAGTGATGTATACCTATTGCACTCTATTTTACTAATTTGATATTCAGTGGCAAATTCAACAGGAGTTGGATCTAATTGAATACGTTTATTGCCACAACCAACCTGTCCCCACATATTACTCCCCCACCCGAATACCTGTCCATTTGATGTCAACACAATTGTGTGATAATCACCACAACTTATTTGTGAAATAATTAAATTGTTTGTTTGGAAATATAATATAGTATCCGGTTTATGGTATAGTTAATAACAATTTTCACAATTTTGTTTAATTATTACACTAATAAATGTTTATTGATTATTGAATTAATATAATAAATATAATTAATATTCATGATTATTATTATTTGTGAAATAATTAAATTGTTTGTTTGGAAATATAATATAGTATCCGGTTTATGGTAGACATTCACACCCATATCCACATGCCGTCCCAATTGTCCCTCATTATTGCGACCAAAACTGAATATCACATTATTATCCGTATTGACAGCCAATACAAAGTCTTCTCCATTGAAAAATTGATGAATATTTTGATGGCATAATTGTGGCACTCGTTGTGGTGTATGAATGGGTGTGTCGTGTCCTAACCCGAGCTGACCCGACCAATTAGATCCCAATCCATACACCATATCATCAAATGTCACAAACAGTATGTTATTATCTAAGTCATCGAAAACATAAAAATATTTAATTTCTTGTTTTAAATGCTGTGGTATTTGATCACAAATTTTATAATTATTAATTACAGTTGACATTTTAGTAAATTAAATATTTTTCACAAATAATAATAATCATGAATATTAATTATATTTATTATATTAATTCAATAATCAATAAACATTTATTAGTGTAATAATTAAACAAAATTGTGAAAATTGTTATTAACTTCCATACAATTTACTCCACTATATTGTATATAACTATAATAACACGTATCATAAGTTATGATTCATAACGTTATTATCGTTAAACGAGTGGTCAGTATAAGAGATAATGAGTGATAATCACCGCAAACACACCATTCAATATATACTTCACTTCTTCGGACATTATCACCACAATTGATCCAAACGTTTAAGGAGACAAACAGTGGTTTAAATGTGTTTTTACTTGAGTTTCAAAATACAAACAAAAATCCAAAACAAGTAATAAATGTGTGAATAGTTTACGTCAACTAAACGCTGGAAACAAACACCACGTGTTTATCGTAACGTAAACTGAATGCAGATTTCATTCATAAAACTCATTCACAATTTAAGTCTAATTTAGCGGTCAGTCAATGGGTTTGCGTTTCACAGACAAATGTGTTGTAGGGGGTTCCCTATCAAAAGACCTAATGATCAAAAGACCTAATGATTATAAGACCTAATGATCAAAAGACCTAATTTTGATCAAAAGACCTAGAATTGATGAAAAGACCTAATTTTCGGGAGTATATCAAAATCTCGAAAAACAGAATCTCGAAAACATAATGCCGAAAAACAATCTCGAAATTTTAAAAATCATATTAATAACACTATACCGGAGTAACTAGCACGTCCAGATATATTTGATGTAGTTAGCGTCCGGTATGGTAAGCTATATCTGCTATCTGCGAAGAGCTGAAACCGATAAAACTGTATCGGGCCGGGCCAGTACTCTGCGCGTTACCTAACCTAACCTAATGGTTCAACAAGGTAATAATCATGTTAGCTATATCAGATATATGTGTATGTGCTAGTAATTAGTGTTATTAATACGATTTTTTAAATTTCGAGATTATGTTTTTCGAGATT